CCTCTGAGTGAGTCCTGGCAGGGGGCCGAATGCATTAATGGGAGGGTGGTCACCCCATCCCGACTGAGGTTTTCCCGGAATTACTGTCCAGGATGTCAAGTTTCTGGCAAGAGGCAAGACTTCAAACAACACCCCTGAGAGACATGTGGTGCTAGCAGCTGAGCCCTTAACCACAGAGCCAAGAGCCCTCACCAGCACCCATGCTGCTGCCCAGGAATACCTGTTGAAATCTGGAAGGGTTAGGGTTCTGCTGATGTTATGAATAGGGACTAGGTCAGGGACGGTTCCAGTTCCCAGGTCTCCATGACTTAACTTGATCCCCCAGTCAATGTGGCTGGAAAATCAGCTTCCCTGCGAAGGAGGCTCTGGGTTTTCCCCGCGCCCTTTGGCTGTCTTAGTTTCATTATCTGTCTGGACACTGGTGCCTCAGCTTTGTGTCAACAGCGACACCAGCTTTTTTAGAAAGAGCCAGTCTGGAAAGTATAAGAACACAAGATCCCAAAGTTGGTGCTGGCCTGGACACTTGACTGTCCCTAAACTCCACATCACCTATAAGAATCCCAACTGTGGGGAAGAGAACATGGGTCACATGATAGAAGCAATAGCTGTCATTTCTTTGGGACTTTACTGTTCACACTGTCAGGCAATACTGGACATTCCCACAGCTGTTGTAGGCCTGTCAAACTCCTGAGCTGATTTTCTACTGCTAAGTTGGAGGTCCTTCTTGACAAATCTCATTCTGGCTTCTGTTTTCTTTTGATTGCTGAGCTGATTTCCTACTAGCTGAGATTCTATTGCAGTCATCTTTGACACTGCTTCTCTCTTAATTCAGTCAAGCAAGTTTAGTAAATCCTCTATTCACATCCTCAATAAGGTCTTGGAAATTCATCTAAGCAAAATGATGAAACACAAAAGCAGGTCCCTAAATAACGTGTCCTCTCTCTCTCATTCAGTGTAGTTGAGGTTGTTTTTCTCTCATCAACTTTGAATGAAATGATGTTCTTCCAGAACCTGGTGTCATCTGTTTCTTGGTAAGTCTTCGGACATCTTTGCAAATCTTTCATCTAACTCATTTCTCATGCCCTGGTTACCACTGTGCTTTGAAACTTTGCAGTTGAGTTTAACTTACAGTCTACGAACTATGTCAGGGGTTAGAGAGAAAAGGAATTACAATATTTAGTCCTTGTGGTCAGTTTGAGCAACAAGAAAAAATGAGGCAACCAGCACTGTTTCGGTAAGATAAACTCTTATGTTGCCTGGAAAGTTTTCGCTTTGGCTCAGTATGGCTTTATTTTCCTGTCATCAGTACTTGGATGAGATGCTGCCTGTTATCCTCAAAGTTTTCCTCGGGAAGAACTTGCCAAAACCAACCAATCAACCAAGACAATATATCTCACTTATTTTACCTCAGGTATTGATCTAAGAGCTTTACAATAACGAGCTCATGTTAAAAATATAGCTCCCACACTTTGCCATCATGACTACAATTCTTCCCATTTTACACAAGAGGAAATTGATGCACAGAACTCACAGAACTTACGCAAACTCTTCCAAACCTTTTTTTTTTTTTTTTTGTGGGATCCTCGCTGGTGGCCAGGGATCAAACTGGCGCTTCAGAGGCTGTGGGCATCCTCACAACCCAGCGCTCAACCTCTGCGCCACCAGGGAAGGCCCTCTCCCAAACTTTTATGACAGTAAGTGGCAAAATAGTACTCAGATCTTGGTGGATTCCTCACGCCACAGGCTCTTAATCCCGACAGCAATGACTTTTGAACTCATTGAACAAGAACTCAAAGTAAGGAATTTTGCACTGTGACCCAGTATTATCTCTTTTCAGATAATGAAACTGAAGCATAGAAGGTTTAATGAAATTTCTCTAGGAAAGGACAAAGCTAGAATTTGAACACAGAAATCAGGTTTCAGAATCTGTGATGTAGCGTACTATGTCACACACTTTGGGCTTAATAGATACTTTTTTAGATTTATTTTATTTATTTATGCATAAAAGAGCTGGGGTATAGGCCAAAGGTACAGCGGGAGGTGAGAGGATTCACCAGAACAGAATGGGGAGCAGAACAGGCAGATCTACTGAAATACACTGCTGAGGGGAGCAGCAGGCGAGACAATAGAGGTCTGCTGCTCCATGTGGGTCAGCTCCCTGGCTGGGGATAGAACTCATGTTGTAGTGGCTGCCCATACTTTCATAGTGTTGAGACTTAACCCATTGCGCCACCAGGGAGGCCCAATTTAATAGATATTTTTAATGCCCATCCTAAACTGGATGGTAGAATATTTGCCTTAGCTTTGCCATTCAAAGTTTTTGAGGATGGGAAACAATCAACTTCATCCCTAAAATCGCCACGAAGGCAGTTTGGCATCATGGCGACAACATGACAGGCATGCTCTGTTCCACCAGGTTTACTTTTCTCCTTGTTGAACCACCTCTGAGAATTCTAACACAACAAACCAATAAATACGCTTTTCCATAATTGTTGAGTTTCTAAATTTTGAGTTACTGAGTAACATGTAAACACAACATCGTAGGCAAACCGACATTGAGAAATGAAGCTATTGTCAAAGTTTGATTAGTAGCTTTCACAAAATTATCTTATGGGATCGTAAAGCAATTTATAAGGTACTGGGTGCATGCTGGGTCCAGAAATAGGTATTTGGGGCAGCTTTTTAAGCTAATTGGCAAATGGCTCAAACTATTACATGTTCCTGGTTCTATTTTCTCCCATTTCTGGCTCTGAACATAAAGTTGCTTGGTTGCATTGCTTTAAGAAGAAAATATGCTGACACTTCTGCTCCCCATTCTGTTCTGGTGAATCCTCTCACCTCCCGCTGTACCTTTGGCCTATACCCCAGCTCTTTTATGCATAAATAAATAAAATAAATCTAAAAAAGTATCTATTAAGCCCAAAGTGTGTGACATAGTACCTGTATTATTTGTCCAAATGATTAAACGAGTACCCTGTACTTTTAAAACTAAATGACACAGATGCCCTACCTACTCACCCCAAAGGCTAATATTTAACATCATTATTGATCCTGCCATTACAAGGTTTGAGTTATGTAAGTAGCCTGTGCATTGGCTTCACCAAATGGAAACTGGGTACATGAGGACCACCTGTGCGATACTAATTAAAAACTGAGTAGATACAAAACCAGGAGAGAATAAAGACTTTCTTTCTTAAATAAGAAAAACTTGGGCTTTCATAATCCATTTTAGACTTCTCTGTTAATCATTTATTACTTAATGATAATTCCAGGTCTCAGAGATCAAAGGGGTGCATAATGGGTCAAATGAATTCACCTCTTTCTTGTCCCTCCAAGTATCACAGTGCTTTAAGGTGACAGGTCCAGGGAGGGAACAAATCCCTGACACTCATACCTGGAGTGACAGGGGAAGCTCATAAAAAAGATAAACATGCTAAGGACCAAAGGTTGAAAGAGACAGAAAGAACCAGAAAAATTTATATGAATTATAGCCATGACCTGGCACCAGATACTATATGACACACTTCATCATGTCAGTGTTCAAATACAGGCGCACCCCGTATGTCTCCATAAAACTCTTGAGCACACACAAGCCCCATTGCCAGACCATCCCAGTGTGTGCTTGTTTTCCTGGACAATCTAGACTGACATCTCCCCTACCTGCTACAGCATTTAAGAAACTTGGGGTCTCCCTCAAGCTCATAGACATGTAGAACGATGTAATTTATAATACATAGACTTGTGTTTGTCTGGACTGGATACAGATTGACGCAGCCTTTGGTACCACATGGTAGTATTAAAAAAAGCAGACTCCCAAGATAGGAATCTGAGACTGGTAATCACACTGGACTGGATACAGTGGCATCTCATGACCGATAAAAAACAGGACATGGGTAGCCTATGACATGCAGTGACAGAGCAGGCATTTAAATGGCTTCTGTGATTGTTGAGGATGAAGAGCTTTTTCAAGACAAAGCTTTGAGACACAAAGTGGCTGTTGCATTTAAGATTTATATTGGGAATGATGATGCCAAGATTATGAAGTTGGAGGTCTACTGACAGCTCCATGGAGCCGTGAGGAGAAAATGACAAACTCACGGCACTAAAGACTTAGCTTGGAGCCTCCCTGGTGGCATAAGGGGTTAAGCACTGCACTACGAAGCAATCCTCAGCCTCTGCAGCACGAGTTCAATCCCCGGCCGGCCACATGGGAGCAACCTACATGGTGCAGCAGACCTCTTCTGACTGGTCCACTGCTCCATGCAGCAGTATATTTCAGTCACTCTGCCTGTTCTGTTCCCCACTCTGTCTCTGGTGGACTCTTTCACCCCCGCATCTCTGGCCTGTACCCCAACTCTTGCATGCATAAATAAATAAACCTTTTTTTAAAAAAAAAAGACTCAGCTTAATGCAGTCAGAGAACTTGAGAACATCTGGTCCTAAAGATTCACTGGTCAGCTGTGGCCACAGGACTGAGGTACACCCACATTTGAATAGTCTGAGCTGCAGAATTGTAAGTTGATTTAGCTGCCTCTCTAGTTTTTTTGGTGTCAACCTTTAGGCATTAATTGAGAAGAGTTGGGACTCAGAACTGGGAAAGGTACATTTGAACAAGTGTAACAATTTTGTTTTCTTTGTTTTTACTTTAATAGTTAAAACATTTTTTAAAAATGGTATCATTTTGTATTGCGCTAACATTGGTTTACACACTGTGTATGACTTAGGAGTACAGGTCACACCTCTTCACATGTATGAAATGTAATAATCCTAAGGCACCAAGGGTCCCTGGCAAGTGGAATCACTGTCCTCCCTCGTCTGAAGACACCCCAGTGGGTTGGAAAGCTGATCTATAGAATGAGGTACACGATCCATGCCTGTGATTAAAATATTTCTCCCACATCAGACACGGGTCTGGGAATCCAAGTGGTGGAAGTTGGACTAGCTCCCTCCCTATTATAACAAAAATTTGCTTTCTGTTTCTGCATGTTCTATGTCTGCAGATTTCAGGATCTTCCTTCCTTCCCAGGAGACAGCACCAGAGATTCCAGGTGAAATGGCTTTGGAGGCTTCTCCTATTGCAGAACCAATACACAAAATCAGAGGTAAATTACTAAAGCAATTCATTCCAGTTCTCAAAGGATGGAGGGCGGTAACTACACAGGGGGACAGGGAAGACTACACTACGGAAACCTTCTCTTGACCTCAGCCTTGCTCCTCTGGGAAAGGTGAGTCAGGACTTTTGCTGTATTTTCTTTTGGAAAAGCGTGGCCATAAATTTCTGGGCAAGCTGCCTCCGCTAAAGTTAGTGTTCGCCCTTGGCGAGGCTTGTAGTAGAGTCTGTTTTCTCCATTTGGGGTCTCGGAGGCACCTTGCTTTACCCAACATGCTCTACCCAACTCAACCCAGCTTGACCTTGACATGCTTCCTGTCACCTCCAGGGCTAGTTCTTAATTCCTCTGATCTGCTTCCCCAAAGAGCTCCCCTGAGCAACTTTTAATCTAATCTGAGTTCTCCAAAAACTGTCCCTACGCAGCGCCAACTCTCCTAGAGACAACTGGTATAAAGGCCAAAGGGGACTTCAATTAATTCCACGTTCTGGGCTTATCGCTGAAATCAAAACTTCTTTTCCATAGGGAAATTGGAAGCTCTTCTATTATGAATGAGAACAGAAGAGGCTTGTTAACCACATCAGTTCTTAATTACCTGTTCTTTGTTTTATATCTTGGCAAAGTTTCCTGACCTGAACAAGAGAAAAAAAAAAGACATCTTTGCACAAAGAAAGAAAGAAATATGTGCTAGCTAGGACTCTTCGATTGTTTGCTACATATTTGGTTTTTAAAGCTGGCTTTCTTGGGCATGGAATCTGGGTTTGTGGGTCTCTTTGGATTGAACTGGATCAACTCAGAATCAGGAACTACTGAGATGTGGAAGTGATTTAAGTGGGCCGAACGGGAAACCTACAACTCAGTTTTCTTCCTGCTACATGGTCTTTTCACTGCAACCTATCGATCACCTGAGCCAGGCTTTCTGGAGAGCTTCCACACATTTGTTTGTTCTTTTTCAATTGTGGTAAAATACACATATTTGCCATTTTGACTATCTTTATTTTCACTAGACAAAGACTTTTAATGTTTTTGCTTTTTTTTTTAGTTTACATCATTATTTGTGTTTCAGCGGAATAGGATCACCCCCTGCCTCTCATAAAAGTATCCAGCTAACCACTGGGTGTGCAACCACCACCATCAGCAGCACCTCCAGAATTCTTCATCTTGCAAAACTGAAACTCTTCCCCCATTCATCAAAAGCTCCTGCTCCATCAGCTCCAGGGACCATCCCCCTACCTTTTATCGTAGAATCTCACCTCATAGAAGGGCAATTCTGCAATATGTGTCCTTTTGTGACTGATTTCTTTTCATTCACATGCCGGCCTCAGGCTTCATGGCCAAAAAGGAGTCTTCACATACTGTGAGATATTCCCTCTGACTTTCTGAGTTTTTCCCATAAGGTATCCACCCTGCTCTTGAAGATGCCAAAACCTCAAATGAATGAATTCGTCCGTTCAACACATAATCCTCCTTTCATGTCAACTCATCAGAAAATGCTGCTTTATGGAGCGAGGGGAAGGGAGTCTGACATGAAAACACTGGCATTTAAAGAATAATGGATGTAAAGACTCAGCTATGACACAGTCCTTTCAGTGAAACTTAAGAATCACATCTGGGCCTCCCTGGGGTTAAGTGCTGCACTATGAAGCAATCCACAGCCTCTGCAACATGAGTCTGATGCCCTGCCGGCTAGGGAGCAACCCATATGGCAAAGTAGACCTCTCCTGACTCGCCCGCTGCTCCCCTCAGCAGTGTGTTTTGGTCAGTCTGCCTGTTCTGTTCCCCACTCTGTCTCTGGTGAATCCTCTCACCCCCCACACCTCTGGCCTGTGCCCCAGCTCTTGTATGCATAAATAAATAAATCTTTAAAAAAATAAAGAAAGATAAAGGCTGCATGAACTCACTCCCACGAGGGAGCAGAGAACAGACTGGTGGATGCCAGAGGAGAGATGAGTGGCAGCAGCAGTGCTTCAAAAGGTACAAACTTTCTGTTGTAAACTCAGTCAGCCATTGAGGATGTAATGTCAGCATGGTGACAACAGTTAGCAAAACTACATTGCATATTTGAAAGCTGATAAAATAATAGACCTTAATAGAAGAAAAAAAGATTTGTCACAATGTAAGAAAGAAGAAAAAACATAACTTTGTGAGATACGGGTATTAACCTAATTACATCATTTCACAGGACGTACATTGATCAACGCATTGTATTGTACATCTGAAACTTTTGCAAAGGTCTATGTCAATTGTATCTCAATAATGTAGCTAAACTGTTAAACACACAATCCCTTTTGGTCACTACCTTATATCTGTTCTCTTTCTAGAAAGGCATTTCAAAACAATTGTCAACACTCACTTCTTCAGCTTGTAGTCACTCATTACCAACCCACCTCAAAACCCGTTCATCTCCACGATGCCACAAAACCCACGTTTGCCAAAATCACTAGGGGCCTCCATGTTGGAAGTCCAGGAGACATGCCAGCCCCCCATGTTGACCCCACAGCATTCAATGGCCTTGCCTAAGCGACACGCTGAAATACTCTCTTCTAGCTTCCTTGACAAGACCCTGTCCTGGTTTCCTCTCACCTCTTGGTATGTCTCTTTGGAAGGAGTCCTGACATCTCCTCTGAACTCCACACTTTCACACCCAACTGACTGTGTGAAGGAGCCAGTGGAATGAGACACAGGTGTGTGAAGCTTCCTACGTCCAAGTTTCGGTCCTTTTGGTGTCCTCTCCCAAATTTGCCTTCTGCATTTCCTCCTCAAATCAGTTCGTGGCACTACTGCACACCCACATATGTATTGCAGCTAATTGTTACTGACACCGTTCTCTATCATCTCTCACTCACATCCAAAAGTTTTTACCTACCTGCCTGTTTCTCTGTTACCATCACATGGTCTGGCCGCCACCGTCTTTCCCATCAGAGCTACAACAACCTTCCCAGAAAAGGCTTAACTGTTACTGAAAGAGAATTTTTTTTTTGTCCAAAATTTGAAGCACTTAGATTAATATCACTATTGGGAATTTGTGATTTGAAGGAAGATGGGATTAAATGCAGTTGTGTTTTGGTCCGTGATTTTTATTAGTTGAACACACACGCACACAAAGACACATAGACACAGTTGTGTGTTACAGATGTGGTTTTCACCTGTTCTTTAAAAGGAAGAGCTTGGGGCCTCCCTGGTGGCGCAAGGGTTTAAGCACCGCACTATGAAGCAATCCACAGCCTCTGCAGTATGAGTTCGATCCCCGGCCAGGGAGCAACCCACATGGTGCAGCAGACCTCTCCTGACTCGCCCGCTGCTCCCCTCAGCAGTGTATTTCAGTCCGTCTGCCTGTTCTGCTCCCTGCTCTGTCTGGTGAATCCTCTCACCCCTCTACTCCTGCTTCTCTGCCCTGTACCCCAGCTCTTGTAGGCATAAATAAATAAATCTTTAAAAAAAAAAAAGACTTTTGTGCACACATTTCTCACTGGTGTTTCCTCCTCAACAAATATAACGTCTCCTAGTTTCCCGGGGAGCTGTGGTTGGGCTCCCAGCATCATTGCACCGCTTTCCCGCCTGCTCTTAATTTCTTAATAAAAAAAGCAAAGTGTCGAAGGCTGTGGGGCTAGGAAGGAAGTGGAGCTGGGACTGGAAAGCCAGCTACTGGATCCCAGGATGTTCTGTCTTCACTTCCTCCCTCAGGTCCATCACCTTGCCTGTCTCATTTCTCAGAGTCACCAGCCCTTCGCGCATCTTTCTGCAGCAGATGGGAGCTGAGGGAACAGCCTCTGCAGGGACGGCCACAGTCTCACTGGTGCACGCCTCCATCTAGTGGCCAGACAGGGCAACTGTAGGGCTTGATCTTCTATGTCTTTAAAACACGTCAGGGCTTTATTTTGGGTGACAACAGAGATCTCCAGTTACATGCTCAAATAAATTCATGTTCCTATCTTAAATGATTCCTATGGCATCAACAAGAGTGTACATGTCAACAGAAATCGCAAAGGGAGAGTGTAGGAGAACCATGGGTGGCAAAGGCATTTTTATTATTCTTTCTACGCGTTCCTCAAAGACAGAGAGATACAATCGTGCATGGGGACGAGCACTTTCCAGAACTCTATTGCGCTGTGCAAACAGGCTTTCCTCTCTTCTTTCTCATCTGTCATCTATCTGCCTATGTGTATTTTCTCTATTTCAAAAAAATGTCCAACAAGGCAGCAATATCAAGGCCCATCCTTACTTGTGCATCTGACGGTGTTTCATGTCTCCCCTCTATAAACTATGACTTCCCTGCTTGGGATGGTGCCCATAGGAAGGTTCTTTGTCCCCTCTGACCCTCTGCTACAGATTATGAATTTCGTGGCTAGACACCAGAGCCTGCCTCTCAAGTACTACATTGTCCATTTGCTATATGCCCTGGCCATTGTCTTCTTCTATAGAAAACAGAAAACTGACACTACGGATAAAACTCGTAAGTATTAAGTCAAGATAGTAAGCAAGCAAAAGACTTGGGACATACAAGTGAAACTAATAGGATATATAAAATTAGCTAATAAATAAGCTAATAAGACATGTTAAAGATAGTTACAATATGTGGAAGAGACCATGAAACAAACAGTAATAATCTGGTGGTGCAAGGGGTTAAGTCTCAGAACTATGAAGCTATCTGCAGCTACTGCAGCACAAGTTTGATCCCCCGGCCAGGGAGGTGCCCCACATGGCGCAGCAGACCTCTCCTGTCTTGCCCGCTGCTCCCTTCAGCAGTGTATTTCAGTAGATCTGCCTTTTCCGTTCCCCATTCTGTCTCTGATGAATCCTCTCACCACCACAATCCCACCCCCACACCTCTGGCCTACACCCCAGCTCTTAAATGCATAAATAAATAAAATCTTCAAAAAAAAAAAAAAAACCCTGCCTGGAATTTACTACAATTCATATTAATTTACAAATATATGTGGCAAGAGGGTGAGGTTTTGACACGATTCAGAGATGAGGATTCATTTTTAAGAGGAATTGACAAGTGGTACAAAAACATTGAATGAGCACAAACATTTGTTTTGTCTTAATCTTCCTAGAGGAATCAGAAAGTTTCCCAAGGGAAGTGAAGGAAGATGTCTGCGAGCTGACAAATTGATAGCAACATACGCTGTAATACCTCGCTTCTCTGTCTGCGCAGGGAGGTGTAGACACTGCACACAGTTCTGGAGTAAACTCTCTGGACTTGCATCCTAGTGGGGTGAGCTGGAGAGTCTGCCTGAGTAACTAATGTGCAAGCTTGTGTTCACACATGACAACAAAGAAGGACAGAGGTCTGGCAAGTGCTTAAAAAAATTATTCCCAGACCCAATATTGAGAAATAAGGAACCAGACACCTGGTCTAGAGAAGTGATGTCCAGGAAGAAGAACCATTTGGAAACAGATTTAGAATTTCTAGGCAAATGTTAGATACCAGTGGGCAGGTTATTTATGAGGATTAGAGCAAAGTGTCTTTCGAATGGGGACAGCCGGAATTCCCCTGGTAACCACAGGTTGAATATCATCCAGTCACAGCAGCGTGGTAGGTTATAGTTGAGACACTCTCTGGTGTATTTGTTGTATTTCACAATAAAGAGAAAGAGAACCGCATTGTGCGAGCCTCAGGACTGGGGGTAGGAGTGTGTATGGTGGTTTTGTGTAATCATCTCTGCTGTATTTGATCCCTACCGTGTTGCCGCTCAATTAGGAGCAGAACATGAGACCAGTCACTGGTTTAATGTTCCGTCTCCTCTGAAGTTGCAGGGCGATTATGCTAATGCTGTGGTTCAGGGATGGAAGACTGAGCTGTCAGCCTAGCTTGGGGCTCCTACCCACCGCCCTGGGGATGCACAGGTGGGACAGACCCAAAGGGTCTCTATTATACTGGGTGATCCAGGGCAGATTGGAGCAACATCAAACATCAAGAGAACCAGCCCAGCTCACACGTGTCTTCCCCAAAGGAAAGATCTTGCCCAACTCTTGCAAACAAGAGTGCTTGGAACAATTCCTCCTAATTTTGTTTGTTTATTTATGAGGAGGAAGTAATGAGTTGTTTCATTTTGGGTAAAGTCCAAATCAAGCAATTCAACTGACCAGCTTGAAAGTAGGAAGTAAGAACTGGGCAAAGACAATGGTGTCCCACAAACTTCAGCTCAGGTCATCTGAATTCTCTGGTTCTTCCTCTGGGTCTGGTAGCACGCATCAGATTGTTTGATGAATAAAACGACACATAATTCAACAAAGCAATTCTGAAATTGCCACATCCTGGCTTGGTTGCTTTATTAATTTATCCCAGTACTAATGGCTTTAGCAGACTTCTATTCAATTGACTGCTTATAATGGGTCCATTATATTTGCTTTGAAAGCCACTTTAAAATGGGTGTGTCGAAGTAAAAGCACATTTGGTAAGGCAGTGCATTCTCTAATTTCCTGCAGTAAAACTACAATCATGGCTCGAAACTGCATTAGTATTATATCAGAAAAATAGAGATTTGATAGCTTTCACCAACAGTGATTAAGAACTCTTGTTACTGTCAATGAGAGTTTCTCCAAGAGAGGTAAGAACAAGCCTCTTACCTGTTCTTCTCTGCTCAGTGTCTGCAAGCTCACCATTTCTCAGATTTCTTTTCTCACGACTATCTGAAGGCTGGGATATCTTGAGCAAAGAGCTTAGAGATGATCTGTCACCTAAATCCAAGCATAAAAAGATGACTTTTCTCACATAATTCAAGACCTACAATGAAAGCATCTGTCTAAAAATTTACTTTCTTTCCATTTTGTTATATCTGATACTCAAAACCACTAAAATTTCATTTGCGTACCTATGAGCGTTATTTGAAAGTAGGAGTCAAATTATTTGGAGTGGCTCATTTCAGGAACTGGGAAGTTGGCAGATCCTGGTGAACTCAGACAAAATGGGCCTGTAAAACATGGGAAGAGAGAATGGTAAAGGCAGTCCAGGAAGGCCAACACTTTTGGACTAAATTGATGAATGGAAAAAGAAAATTCTATAATTTCCAAACTATCCTCTCACAGACCCTTGGAAGAAAGTACCCTGGTTAGTTGTCTTGGTTTCACAATGGAACCCACATGTTGCACACTGCATAGCTGAGTGTTCAGATTGTCAACACCTTTGGTGCCAAACCCATACATTTCTCTCTGGTGTTAACTTTTTTTTTTTGTTTAAAGATTTATTTATTTATGCATAACAAGAGCTGGGGTACAGGCTAGAGGTGTGGGGGTTGAGAGGATCACCAGAGACAGAGTGGGGAACAGAACAGGCCGATTGACCGAAACACACTTCAGAGGGGAGCAGAGGGCGAGACAAGAGAGGCCTGCTTCACCATTTGGGTTGCTCCCTGGCAGGCTGGGGATCAAACTTGTGCTGCAGAGGCTGCAGATTGCTTCATAGTGTGGTGCTTAACCCCTTGTGCCAGCAGGGAGGCCCTCTGGTGTTAACTACTGATGGCAAAATAATTTATTCAGGTGCCTTCACGAGCTGGAGAAAGATCTTTCATGTAACTTGCATGACATCTAAAGACTTTCTCTTGAGTGCGAACTCCTCAGTCTGGCCAAAAACACCAAAAAGTTTTCTGAGAAATTTTCACCCTATTGAAACATTCTGAATATTAACTACATTATTTGAGCAGCAAATTACATAGATGAACATTCCTTCAATTTAATATTAAAGATTAATTAATTTAAACTGCCAAATTAATTTGTTACACATTTGAAATTAGAAATTGAATTCAATAGTAAGACATTTTCATGTGTGTAGTTGTCGTGTTTTATAGCCATATGACAAATTTTGGGGGCAAGTTCAGACTTAGGTAGGAAGAATCAAGCAGAAAAAGTTATTTTCACTGAAAATCCAGGTTCTGCTGCTCAGAGAGAACCAGAAGCCTCCAGGAGTCTCCATGTTTATAACACAAGTTACCTACATGTCTCATGGGGCTCAAGAAGAAGAAAATCAAAGGCAGGTGTGAAGGCAAATATTTATTCAGAATGAGAAAAGAAAGCACAGCAAAATGCTGGCATCGTGGACAGTCAGGTCTCTTTCTTGTGAGATCTCGCTATGTAATTTGCTAGATGCACTTACACAGAAATGCTGACTGATTGCAACTGCCTTTCTTTCCCCACCTAGAACATTCTATGACTCCCAAATACTCTTAGGAACCCTGCGGATGTGGGAAAATGAAGGGCTCTGAATAAATCCCAAATCCTAAATCACAGAAAATCATCATGGAATGATGACAGAACAGAAATGTTAAGACAAAAACTTTGAAAACAGCAGTAAAGGGCAATATATTTATTATCTCTGAGGGGGCTTTTCTTAAGACCTCCAAAGCACCAATTATTTAGAAAGTTTGATGCATTTGACACATTAAAATTTCGATTGTATCAAATGGTCATACAAAGACAAACCACAAAGTGGGGGAAGATAGTTGCACTATAAATAACAACATATGATTATCCAGAAAACAGAAAGTACTGAAAATAAATGACAAAAAGTCAAACAAGTCAGTGCATAAAAATGGGCAAAAACCACAAATGTCTTTTCTATAGTTTCCTACACAAAACACAATGAGACAACAAGCCCATGAAAAGAAACTCAACCTCATGACTAGTGAGAAAATATAAATTGATAATCATAATACGATACCTGTATGTCCATCAGAATGACCAAAAATATAAACAACAGTTCTGGCAACACCCAACATCAAGTGTTATAAAGTGGGGCAATGTGGACTCACACTCTGCTTTGAGTACTTATTTAGTGAAGCAATTTAGTATTATCTAGAAGGTTTATGAGGAATAGTTCTTACATTCTAGTAATTCTGCTTCTGGGATATATCCCCGTGTACAAGCCCGCAAAGACAGGTGTACGAGAATGTTTATAGCTGTACCAATTGTTATTGAGGAGAAAGGGGGAGGGAAAAAAAAAACACAAATGTTCATGTCCAGGAAACAAATAGATTGTAATATAGTCATTTACTGAAATACTGTATTCCGTTGTAATATTTAATGAACGATAGCTCCGTTCCTGAACACCTATCAAGTCGTGTGAACAAATTGTTACAGAAGAATATCTTCAATAGGATTCCATTTATACACAGATCCAAAAAATATGCCCGATTAAAGCAATTGGTCCAATAAGCCCTCAACTGTTACTGTATAATTTGTACTTTGTAATATCTGGTAGGTGCATGGTTCGTTAAGCTTCAAGCTAACAGAAAATTAAGCATTAACTATGGTGCCGGGGGGTGGAAAATCTGCGAAATCAAAAGCTTTAAAATTCAGCTATAAAATTTTGGTAAATATCCATGTAGGAGATGAGAAAGATCATCTTAAGGGATCTGTCAAATGCCATCGGTCAATCAGCCTTTCTCCCAAATTCTGGTGCCCCCGCAGACCATCCAAGCATGAAGAACTGTCACCAACCCACATTAACTTGCCGTAGCACTTGTCCAAGTGTTATTTGGCCTCAGCAAGCCTAGACCACCAAGGCGTCCGTCCCGACGGTGTCACAGAGAAGCCTGAGCGACATGTCCAGGGCACAGATCCCGGCTCTGGTGGCTGGCGTGGGCGGCTTTGGAGCGCTGGTGGCTGCCACGGCGTCCAATGAGTGGAAAGTGACCACGCGAGCATCCTCGGTGATAACCGCTACTTGGGTCTATCAGGGCCTGTGGATGAACTGTGCTGGGAACGCCCTGGGCTCTTTCCACTGCCGGCCCCACTTCACGATCTTCAAAGTAGAAGGTAAATATAACAACCTGGTCTGGGCTGGAAGTAAAGTGTCCCTTCTTCCCTCACTCTAGGGCAGTAGCAGCTGTCTCTAGTCAGAGGTTAACTCTGTCAAGATTGTTTCATGGAAGTGACTGGATTTGCCTAGGGTGGGTTGGGATGAATGAATGTTGGCAGAAAATTAAGTCGTGTCTTTTATCTGGCAAAGGAAAGTTAAGAATAACTTTCTGGACCTTTTTGAAAGTCCTAGGGTGAATAATAGATGGCAAAGAAGGCTGAAGTGACTGACATGTTGCTAGTTTGTTTGCTTTGTGTCTTGAGGAATTACGTGCCTGCGTGTGTGCACATACAGTAAGCAAATCAGACATTATTCCTATAACGCCTTGAGTCACCTGAGCTGGAACACACATATGTGCACGTATGTGTATATATATACACGCACACATGTATTAACATATAACATTGCTAGTGACAGAAGCATATGATGATATGCACAATATGGAGTGAGGAGGAATTCCATTTTCAGAGTGGTTTCCTAAATTTTCTTTATCATGTTTAGTGATAAAATAGAGCAAGAGAACATTTCACAAGGAGTTTTGTGAAGGAAAATGTCTGTGTTCTTCCCTCTTGGCTACTTGGTTTTATTTGTAAAACATGCAGGCAAGTCTTCAATGTCATGCATATTAGAAACCCTATTACCAGCATATGTATCTTAAAGAAGGAAAAATATTTTAAAAAGGCATTTTCATATCTCAGGATACCCCCAGGGAAACAATTATTTGCTATTTGCTTTTATGTCATTTTAACAATCACTATCTGCCTCTGCTTTCTGCCTGCTTGATACGTTTACAAATCGGACGCAAGTTCTGGGCTTATTATGTTAACATTGCCCCTGGTATTTTATAAAATACCGACTTTTCACAACCAAATGGCAAAACTGTACCTTGGCCCCAGTAAAGAAAATGAAATGAAATTTTAACTAGGAAGTTACTAAAGCATAATATTTTATGAGATTTTGTGTCAAGTATCATGTCAGTGGTCTACCGTGCGTGCCAAAGGATAAAGAGAGAATACTTAAAAAGCCAGAAGTTTCTAATTACAGTCGACGGAAATGCTCAAGCTTGGTTACCCCAGTTAAGCCTCCAAGTAGCAGGGCCTTTCCCTAGTGCCTGTATGAGGAGTCGACGCTACGTCTCCCTTCAGTCCCAGCTTCTAAACTTCTTTTGGGATATTTCAAAAGTGCTCCTTCTACTATAGAGGGCTCCCCAAGTACACAGCGGATTTTACAAAAGAGAAGAGTGTTCTGTGGGCTTTGGGGGTCAGTCTGCACCCTCTGTGGTTACTCTTTCTCTGTGTCCCCCTCTTGGCTCATTCTCATCTTGGGGACCAAGCAGAAGATATGGCCTGTAGGTAAGTGCGTTTCTTTGTCTTTACTCGGTTCATCTTTAAAAATAAATGGTTTGTCTTATTACCCTTCATTCTCTATCCTTAATGAAATCCAGGTATTGTAAGAACCAGGCATTCAGCCTTAGCTACAAAGCAGCTTAGAGAACTCAGCAGAGTTCTGTGTGAGCCAACAGCCACGTTCCCAAATACATCTTGGAAGGAATTAGAGGTCTTGTTACTGAATAGTGTTGATGGTGGTCAAGTAATATCCCCTACCCCAAATATTATCCCCCTCATTTTGCTTCTCAATAGTAGAAGCAATGTAATACAGGCTGCTGTGTACCCTGCACTTAAGAGGACCTTCGAGGGCCTCTCCTGGTGGCTCAGGCAGTTGAGCACAGCGCTATGAAGCTGTCCACAGCCTCTGCAACTGGGGTTCGATCCGGCCGGCCAGCGAGATGCCCACATGGCACAGCAGACCTCTCCTGTCTTGCCCGCTGCTCCCCTCAGCAGTGTATTTCAGTCAGTCTGCCTGTTCTGTTCCCCACTCTGTCTCTGGTGAATCCCCTCACCCTCCCATACATCTGGCCTGTACCCCAGTTCTTGTATAAATAAATCTTTTAAAAAAAAAGAGGTCCTTATAAAAAGTTGGTCGCCTAACAATGCTTCACCTGAATGTATAAAATTAATATAGCGTCATATTTCCACTTTGTTTATTCTGAATCAAAGTCTGCATTAAAGATGCAGATTACCGTTGAAATCTATCAATGTCAACTGATTTATATTTGTAAAGGAAGTGGGAACTCGCAAATTTGGATGTCCTTGTTCACCTGGGATCACTGCTGACGGTGCTGGTTGCTTTTGCTTATTCCTAGTTGAGAAGGTACCAGTGGGATGGGAACACCTCCTATGCTGATGGGCTCTCAAATATCACATCAATTTCAAATTGAGACAAGAACTCAGAAGTCATGAGGAATGACATGGTGATAGCACATTTTGAAACAATAGACGATTTAAGCCTGTATTGTCAATTTGAGAAAAAAAAAATTTACACTGAAGCACCCTGTAAGAAGGGAAAACAGAAAACCTTTCCAGGTTGCCAGGTTGTGTTGTTGTTCCCTGTTCCTGATTGTATAACTTCATTGCTGAACCATTCCTTCTGCTGCAAACCCCTTAGCTGCCCCGGGGCCCATTAGATCAACAGTGATTCCCTTCTTTAAACATCTAAAACCTCTTTGGGCCAGGAGTCGTCACTGTTATTTATGGTGAAATACACAGGCCCCCTTCATCTCTGGTTCTGTGACATAAAGGTCAGGAAAATACATAAGGACACTTGTAATTCAATCCTCATCACAGCCCCGCAACTTTCAACTTCATTTCCAAAGCCCTTCACTGTCTTTCAATTCAATACCCACTACAGGCACGTTTCTTCCTTCATCCTGCTTTGGTTTTCTCTTACATGAAGTTAATAGGGAGGTTAGAAATACGAAAGCACAGTCTCTCTCCCAGGGAGAGCAGCAGTCATTTCTGATAGAAAGGCTGGATCCAGAGAGCACTGCTGCTGGGTGGGATTAAAGCTCAGTCACGATCACCTTAAAGACAGGGGCCGACTGGCTGTGTCCTCCCAGTGCTTCCCGCATTGCTCTGGGGGATATTTGCCAAATGACTGAATGAGCAAAATAATGAGTGAGAGTTTGTGAAGGGCGAAATTGTGTTTCAGGAAGAAAGTAAAGGTATGAGGAATTGAGGAGTATTTTAGGGCTTGAGCTCATGCAACAAAAGGGAAAATCACTGGGTTACCTTTCAGGAGAATGAGCTTCAAGTTCTGGCACCCTTATGGAAGTGGCTATCAGACCTTGTTTTGCAATGAAGCTCTCTGTGTCTCTTTCTTAAACTTTCTCCTCCTATAAGAAAATGAAACTCCAAGCATCTCTCAAAGTATCTTTCAACCTAAAGTTCAACTTGAGAACTTCAAGATGTTTCCCCACGAAAGAATTATAGCAGCAGAAGGCGCCTGTCCTATCCCTGTTGATGGGACTAGCCCTTCTTTTTCTCTCCTTGTCTGTCATCTTGGCTGATTTTCTGTGTCCCTGAATGTTGAGGAGCTTGTCTGCATCTGCGTGAAAACAGGTTTAAACTACCACAAATGGCCACATCTTGCTAGTTGAAGAATGTGCCTTAGTTCATGATTTAGTAACTATAATAAATGAATCTCAAATGATAGTAATAAAATTAGATAGAAATAAAACAGTATCAGTGAGGAAAAATGGATTTCAATAATTTTGTGCTTCAAAAATCTTTCACAAATAACACATCTGATGGTTTTCTGCTCCACTGGAAAGGATTTACCTTTAATCTCAGGTGTCCATTCCTTAAGATTCAGACTCTGCTCTCTGAGACTTAATTTCATTAATCAGGCTAAAGTTAATTTAAATTTCAGAATAATCCCTTGCTGTGTTCCAAATGCATATCAAGTTATTTAAGTCACATAGGAAAATACAGGTTTTGTCTTTGGCAGTTCTCATCCCAAAGATAAGTCTAAGGAACATTCCATGTATTCGTGTCCCAACAAAAATGGTGCTATTTTATAATGTGTACTGATACAATCAGTGACCCGAGGTAGGTGAATTGTATTCTCAAGGTAGAATCTGGACGGATGAGCCCCATGAAACTGTCTCTGTGCCAGGAGAACTGGACGGTACAATGTGAAATGAGTCCATGCCTATAGGGTAAGGATGGGCCGGGCCAGGGCAACACTTTTGCCAAAGCAGCCCAGGACTGGAGCTGGAATCCCAAGTCTGCTTGCATCCAGGTGTCCTTCCATGGACACATCAGCCATTCTCAGGACAGCTTGCCTCCTTCAACAGCTCCTCTCTTAGAGGTGGGACCTGATCTTTTTTCTCCTGCTCTTCTTGGTACCCACACTGTAACTGACGCTTGCAGGTACTCAGTGAAGGTTTGTGAATTGAGTAAGTGGGGAGGGACTTGTTCACTAAGTGAAGTTGTAACACTAAGGACATGTAGAGGGAATCTCTCATCTCAACAAGCTCTGGCAAAGGAAGAAGGCTCCAGAACAAACAGAAGAGCTGTATTATTTTTTTTTTTGCCTTTTATGCAAAGTTTATATATATATATGTATACATATTTATATACAGAGACAAAGGGTATAAAATCCAGTAAGGAGGAGTCACATGTACCCACGTAGGGGACAGGAGCAGCTTTAAAGCTGTATTATTTATGGTGGCATTCAAGAAGCACATGGTTTATAGTGTTGTTAGCCCTTAGACAAGCAGCATCTACATCACAGGGAAGCTTCTAGAAATGCAGGATCTCAGGCCCACCATTGGAAAAATAGAATCAGAATTTGCATCTTAACATATCCAGGTATCCCCCATACCTGGAAAAGTTTGAGAAATTCTTGTTTAGAGCTTGGGCCTCGGAGTCTGATGGACTCACTCTTTACTAAAGGTCTTAATCTCCCTCTAATTCAGTTTTCCTAGCTGTTAATTAGTGATTAAATGAGATAACATAGGCAAAGTGCCTTACACCTTGCCAGACCCAGGGAAGTTCACCTGAAGGGTAGCAAACATTACTCAAAGTGCCTTTCTCGGGCCTCCCAGGTGGCGCAGCGGTTGAGCGCTGGGTTGCGAAGCTGCCCGCGGCTGCAGCGCCGGTTCGATCCCCGGCTGCTCCCCGGCCACCGGAGGAGGGTCCCACATGGCGCGCAGACCTCTCCTGCCGCCCGCTGCTCCCCTCAGCAGTGTACTTCGGTCCTTCTGCCTGCTCTGCTCCCCGCTCTGGCTCTGGTGAATTCTCTCACCCTCCCGCGCTTCTGACTGTACCCAGTGCATGTATAAACAAAACAAACAAACAAAATAAATAAATAAATAAAAAACATGCCTCTATAAAAAAAAAAAAAGTGCCTTTCTCAATGCCTTGAGCTCACATGTCAACAGTAGAAAGGTGGCTATTCCTTCTGCTCCATCCTTTTGCTTCCCGGAATCTGAAACCGAATAGAAAGATGCCAAAGATTCTTTGTTGCATATCCTATGCTTACTTACAATGATGTCAAGGTTATTGCACTTGTCAGTCTATAGTTTATGCTTAGGATTTGCTCGACCAACTAAGGTGAGACCACTCTACATTCAGAAGTCAACCTGTTACCAATGCTGTTGGCTTGTTATGTCAATCATGCTTTGCATCCACTGGAAATGGAGTGGAGAGGCTGCTGCAGACTCCTTATCAGAATATAGGTTTTCAGCAAACCTATGATATGTTCTTAGGCTAGACAGCCAAAAAAGGACAAAGTTTTACTCGAACATTCCTAGACCTGAGGACTGGGGAAAACTATTAAAAGATTGATTTCAATCATAGTTCCATGCTATGGATTCAATTGAGCCCCCACAAAATTCATATTTTGAAACCCTAACTTCCAAAATGGTTGTTTTTGGAGATAGGGTCTATATGGAAATAATTAAGGTTGACTGAGGTCATCAGGGTAGGAGCCTGATTTGATGGGATTCATATCCTCACAAGCACACACAGAGAGAATTCTCCATCTGCTGCATGAGGACTCAGCAAGAAGGCAACCATCTTAACCACCCCCCCAGAAACCAACCCAGCAGACCTTGACCTGAACTTCCCAGCCTCTGGAACTGTGAGAAAAGATGTCTGTGGTTTAAGCCCCTGGTCTATGGTATTTTGATACAGAAACCTGAGCAGACTAGGAGACTCTGCATAGCTTAAGTTAACTATGCAGACTTGAACAGGTTACTTAATCTTTCAAAGTCTCCATCATTTCATCTGTAAGTAAGAATATTAATAGCTAACCCCACGGGGTTGTTGTGAGAGTTTAATGAAATGGTAAAGTAAAGCACTTTCTCCAGAACAGCGATCATGATCATGAGTTAGCTGTTTTTAAAGATGACTTTGAACATGCAACAAAAGGTTGGTATCAGATAGCTTTTATTTTATATTTTTTTTTTTATTTTTTATTTTATAGAGGCATGTTTTATTTATTTATTTTGTTTGTTTGTTTGTTTTGTTTATACATGCACTGGGTACAGTCAGAAGCACGGGAGGGTGAGAGAATTCACCAGAGCCAGAGCGGGGAGCAGAGCAGGCAGAAGGACCGAAGTACACTGCTGAGGGGAGCAGCGGGTGGCAGGAGAGGTCTGCGCACCATGTGGGATCCTCCGCCGGTGGCCGGGGAGCAGCCGGGGATCGAACCGGCGCCGCAGAGGCCGCGGGCAGCTTCGCAACCCAGCGCTCAACCGCTGCGCCACCGGGGAGGCCCTATTTTATATTTATTTTTAAAGATTTATTTATGCATACAAGAGCTGGGGTGCAGGCCAGAGGTGTGGGGGGTGAGAGGATTCACCAGAGACAGAGCGGGGAGCAGAAGAGGTGGATTGACTGAAATACACTGCTGAGGGGAGCAGCGGGCGAATCAGGAGAGGTCTGCTGCACCATGTGGGCAGCTCCCTGGCTGGGGATCAAAACTCATGCTGTGGTGGCTGTGGATAGCTTCATAGTGCTGCATCTTAACCCCTTGTGCCACCAGAGAGGCCCCTCAGATAGCTTTTAAATGAACATGTGGTCTACTTCCTATTTTGCAAAGCGGCTTCACATACATTATCCTATTCATCTATGAGATGGTTTTCCATAGTCTCCATTTCACAGACAAAGCAACTGAGGTTCACAGGGGAACCGATGTGGAACAGTGTATGGTATCCTGTAGATCTTTTGGGGGGAAATGTTCAACATTTTGTACTAGACTCATAGCCTATGTTTAAATCCCAGCTGTCAAGTATTTTTTTGAGTGACCTTGGATAAATTGCTTAAATTTACTTTGTTTCCCTTTCTTATATGTAGGAGGAGAACAGTGATGCTATCTAGTAAGATACTTTGAAAAGTTGTAGGGAAGACCAGGGAAAATTATTATATGAAGCAGACAAGTATATGTTTTTTAATATCCCTGGAATTGCATGTAATAAAACATGCAGGCACAGAAACGCTGTTGTGAAGCTTTTATACTTGGAGCTCCCAGGAGCAGGAGGCACTGCAGGGCCATGCAAGGGACCTGGGGAGGAGGCAGAGATGCAGAGGAAAGCATGGCAGGAGTGAGACAGGGGAGTCAGGCTAAGCAGGCTTAGGATTGGCTAGTTTGAATAATTTTAGCAAGCTCTGGGCTCCCAGGCTTAGTCCTGTGTCTGACCCTGGGTTGATTAGGGTGGAGGAATAGTGGCTGGAGGAGTAACAGGTTGATAAAGGAGGTAGCTGGTGTGTAAGCTTTGCATTCGTTGATTTGCATGTGAAAGGCGCATTTGCCTGTTATCTCATAGAACTGGCTAACCCTGGGAGGAGTCATTTCCCTGCCTGTCCTTAAGGAGGTCCTGGATGCCAGAACTTTGGGATGCAGAAAATAAGTTAGCACAGCTACCACAGTGTGGATACTAGATGCTTTGGCGTTGCTTGCACAGAGAGGTCAGCAGGCCAGTGTTTTGCTATTGGACCTCTCCTTTGCGCTTTTCGTGGCTATCTGCTTTTCAGTATTTGTTTTCTCCTGGAAAATGCAGTCTTTTGTGTAGAAAAGGCTCAGTTTGATTTTCCCAGCCTTCATCGCCCCCTCTCTGCTCGTTGCCCACTTGACACACACGTGGTGTGTCATAGATTCCATCACTAACTCTTAGACTAACTCTCATCCTAAAGAAGATACATGCAAGGGACATCTTCTGAGCAAGTAGTGTGCTGCGATTAGCAATTTGAAAGCTTCCTGCCACTGTGCATTTTTTGGGTGATTCCAGAGCACTGCAGAAAACTATATTGCACTTAATAGAGTTCAGGATAGGTGAGCTGATTTTCAGGAGACAGCAGGTCTACAATTAAGGTTTGGCTAAGTCTCCATAGGCATTATAGGAAAAATTGATTACCAAAGATTGATAATTTGGCAAATGACTCTGATGCCCTATTACAATTACAAAAGGAACCCCAGAAAGAGTTAATTCATTTATTCATGAATGATTCGCTCATCAAAGCATTCACTGGATTCCTGGCACAGCATAGACGTTCTGGAGACTCAGCGAGGAACAGGCATCGGGCCTATCCTCTGTAGACATGCTTCTTGGAGGGAGACAATCATTTAGCAAACAATTAGCCCAGAATGATAAGTGCTATCTGGCAGCTAAGTGCAGGAGGTGGGCAGACTTCCCAGAAGAGCTAGCGCTTGAACTGTCTTGAAAGATGGATAGAAGTTTGCCAAGAAGAAGAAAACAGGGCATTTCAGGCTACAGACTCACCCAGCTCTGCAACTTATTAACTGCATAGCTCTGGGCAAAATACTTGATTTTTTGAGTTCCCCCATCTATAAAATGGGGATAATATCATCTACTTCAGAGGGTGGTGGTGAGCATTAAATGAGTTAATTTGTGTACAGCATTTAGAGCAATGCTTGGCATGTACAAGCAAAGACCAAAATGCAGGAAGGAGCCAAGTGCATCAGGGAACAGCAAACATAGCAGGCTGAAGGGGACAGAAGATGTACAGGGAGATGTTAAAATCAAGCTACAGATATATTGGGTAAAAAAGTCATGATGCATTTTTGTCTGAAAAACAAACAAAAAATACGTCATGACTTTTCTGACAACCCAACAGATAAAGGGGAGTTGGCAAAGGGACCTTTACCTTCTAGAAAGAGATTTAGACTTTGTCTTGCAGGAGCTGGAAAGCTCTTGAAACATTCTGAGAAGAGAACACCTGATGGAACCTGGCATTTTAGAAAAATCTTACAGAATTGCTTATGCGAGAAAGGTGAGAGAAACACTTCCTGCACTGACTGGGAAGCAGACCAAGGTGATCTCTGTAATCATTTCCAGGGGTCCCAAATGACGAAGCATGTGCCGCCCTGCACTGGCAAAGGATGGCTGCTTCTAAACCCAGGCGCAGAGCTGCCGTTCCCCCTCCTCGCCTACAGATTTCGAAGTCAGAGGATTTGTCTTCCTTGCTTTTCCTGAGCTGCTGACCCCAGGCTTTCTCAGCCTGTGTTCTGACTTCCACGCTGCTTCTCTGTTATTGTCCTCATAGCCCACTCCTGACTTTCTTGCTCCCTTAAAGGACACTACCCCACCCCTCCACCCCCACCTCCCTCACCCCAATGCACACCTGCTTCCTCTCTAGCACCCACACAGGGCAACTGCCAAGGCCTGAGATGCTGCTGTCACCTTCCAGATCTTGCGGGTGGAGTTGGCTTTGTCTCTGGCTCAGCCAAGTGCCTGTGTGGGCTCAGCCTCCAGGCTCTCCCTGTTGACTGAGATGGGGGTCAGACATTAGACAGATGTGTCTTCTGCTCCGCCCCTTGCTCTACTGGTGCAATCCAAGGTGACCAGATCAACCTTGAAAGGAAGAGCCTTGGACTTAATCCCCCTGCCTTTAGCAAGTGCCCACTCATGCCTCGCACACCTGACACCCAGTCTCGTTGAATCCGAGTGACCCTTTGAAAACCGTGTTCTCTCTATGGGTGACCTAACTGGCTCCGTTTGGTGGCTGAGGAGGTGGCCCTGTCAGGATTCAAATGCCAGCTTGTGTGACTTTTGAACATGAACATTTGACAGCTCGGCCATGGAGCACTCCCGCGGGCGAGTCCCCAGCAGGAACCCATCAAAACATCAAAAACAGTCCTGACTTTCCTCTCCAGGTCCCTGCCATCCAGCCGGACTTTGTGCTTACACTTTCCCCTAGTCCTTGCCTCCACGCCGGGCAAATGCCTGCCCTCATGGTGCCCATTTCTCTCCTCTTTCAGCTCCACCTCAAATGCCATGTCCTATGCAAAACCTTTTTAATCTTTGAACTGGAAGGGACCTTTGTCTCCATCCACCCCCCCTCCCCCATGGCACTTGGTCTTTTTCTTACCATGGCCTGTACTGTGGATACTGGTGTATCTGCCTTTCCCAGCCTCTAGATCATGCTCCCCGGGAGGGCAGGGATTTAGCAGTTTCCTTCTAGGGCCTCCCCTGGTGGCGCAGTGGTTGAGCGCTGGGTTGCGAAGCTGCCTGCAGCTTCTGCAGCGCCGGTTCGATCCCCGGCTGCTCCCTGGCCACCGGAGGAGGGTCCCACATGGCCCGCAGACCTCTCCTGCCGCCCGCTGCTCCCCTCAGCAGTGTACTTCACCCTTCTGCCTGCTCTGCTCCCTGCTCTGACTCTGGTGAATTCTCTCACCTTCCCGCGCTTCTGCTGTACCCAGTGCTTATATAAATAAATAAATAATAAATAAACAAATAATAAATAAATCTTTAAAAAAAACAAAACAATTTCCTTCTACCCCTTACTGATAAGCAGACCCTGCTTGTGCTATAGGCATATGCTGAATTACTAAAGCTTTTGTTGAGTCGAGTGATCGGGAACAAGGGCATGGACACTTTCTCCAGGTTACTGTGTTTGGTGCTGCTCTGAGTCTATCTGGATAGTTCTTGGGTCCACATTTCTCCTTGTCCAGAAGCACAGCATGATGAAGTGGCAAAACATTCTAGAGAACTCTTCAAAAGAGAAAGCGTTTAGTAGGATATTTCTTTGTTCTTTGGGAATCAGGCTGATTCTCAAAGGAAGTTACTTTTTTTACTAGGAGCTTTAGAACTAACTCTTTAAAGATCGATTCTAGAATTTATCTGGGGTTGGTTACCAAGGCAATTTCACACACTCCATGGGATGTCACTAAATGCAGAATTGGAAGGATTCTCAGTAGCACACAATTCTACAGCAACAATAGATTTAAAAACCTCAAGAGCATAGATAATAATTTAGGAAGTGATGGGTTTTGAGTATGTATGGCCTTTGTGATTAATAGATTTAATTCTGTGTTCACATGCTTTCTTTCTAATGGCTGTTTAAAAACTGGCGTGCAAGATGCCTAAAAATTGAGCAATTAATGGACAAATACATTAGGTACAAACATTATGAAAAATCTCAGGGACACTCACAATGTTCCCTTGGGATGGCCAGAAACAGCCTGATTGTGAGGGAGCAGCAGAGAAGTCACAAAAAGATTCAAATGACTCTGATAGGTGGGATTCTCTGAACACTCACTCTCTGAGGAATTTTCTCTCCTCTGAGTGATTCTGGGCTGAGTCCCTCTCTTGGTAATTAATGACTTTGAGATATGGATTTGGCTGTTGGGCTTGTCCATAAATCATCCAGCCATGCGGAACCACGGTCAGCAGAAAAAAGACCTCTCCAGCTCCTCATCTGCTGGATTCTAAAGAGCGGCTGGAAGGCATGACCATTTCTGTGAGGTTCAAGTTTATGCGTGTTGTGAGCAACTCAGTAAAAAGTGCAAGGTAAACATAAAGTGCATTCACTGAGAGCAGACTAAATTACATGCCATAACCTCCTCGAGATAGCCTGGGACCATTTGGGTTATCTATATTACAAAACGTGTCTGAGGATGATTGCTTTGGAGAGAGTTGTTCTTTCGTGTGTCTTACTTTAACCCAAATGGCTGAGATGAGGAGTGGAAGTCATTTTTTAACAATAAGTTGTTTCCCTCCCTCCTGAATTTTTTCCTGTCAGGATTTTCTCAGTTACCCTGGGCCCTGACCCCACATGCATCCCACGACTCCAGTGCACTTCGTGACTTCTTCAAACATTTGCAATTACCTTTTGTTATAAACTCAAATTAACAGGTCTTCTTATCTCTAAATCTTGATTCTTTCCTTCAACAGCATGCTTTAAAACTTGTAAACCTGGCTTACAGCTCCGGTTCTTTTAATTTCCCTGTGTATTAAAGTTACGATTGACACTACACTCGTCCATGGAAACAAATACTGGCACCTTAATGCTTGATTTGAATGGTTTGCAGGCAGAAACTCTAGACTTTTCCAGGGACTCCTGCCATCAGTACCTCTAGGTTTCCCTAGAAAAGTAGGCAATTATCTCCTCATCCCCTACCTGCTGTTACCTTTGGAGAGAAATCAAAGCTCAATGGGGCTACAGCTTGGCTCAAGTCACGCCACTCACAGCTGCCAGGTCAGACCCCCTCAGCCTCTCTTCTACTTAATCACACATGAAGGGTGAACACCAGACGGCTTTTACAAAAGACCCATGGGCGCACCTCTCCCCACCACAACATCACTGTGCAGGAGCTTCTCCCACACAGGATCCCAGCACCGCTGCTGCTCCCTCAAGGTCACATTCCTCCAGGGGGCCTTAGACAGTCCTACCTCTGCCTCATCGCCTTCTCTCCCTCCCTCCCGCGCAGATAGGCGTGTTCCAGCACCCCAAGACTGGGGAAGGGCCCTGCGTGCCTCTTCAAATGCCTAAAGGCGGCTGAGGCCAGATCAGGGGTGCAGTTCCTCTCCCTCTCCATCCTTTATGGGGTTGGTTGCAGCTTGGAAGGAAACACTGTCCTCCCTACACCCTTGCCGTGTCCTAGAGGTTCAGTGGAGATGGTGGTAGCCGGGGTAGAGTGTGAGGATGGCAGGCGGGGGCTGTGGTGTCAGGTCCTCGCCCCTTTCACAAAACCTGACTCCTGTAAAAATCTGTGACTTGGAATAGAAAATGAGGACAAAAGTGCCATCCGTCTCTGTAGACAGTATGTGATTTGCTAAAGCAGAAGGATAGTTTGGGGCCTAATTCCAAACATAAGTTGTAGTTGGAATTTATAAATATATGTATATTTTATATTATATATAATATATATTTAAATATGCGTACGTGTGCGTATGTGTATATATATACACATATATATTTCCTTTTATATATATACACACACACACACACACACATATATATTTCCTTTTGCAGAAATTCCTGGCTAACAGACTCTTTTTTTTGCTACTGGGGTTCTCACTTTCTCTCTCTAGTTGGTTCTGCACTGCCCAGATCCTGGAGGCAGAGAAAGAGGAGAATATTCCAGTTTCCGGAGGCTTTAATGACTCCTGAGCTCATCCTGTCTTTTATAAATCTTATTGAGGTCGCCAGAGCCTGAGACTCACTCTAGTTCCAGGGAAACAGGCCACAGGGACAGCCTCGGGCAGGAAGTAACCCCACTGCAGTTAGAAAGGCACCTCCCTTCTCTCCCCAGGGACCAGATGGACAAGCAAAGCCAAGGGCCTCCAAGGAATGGGTTCCCTTGTCTTCTTCTGCCTCAGGGCCCCCACCCGCTGTTACCCTGGGAGGGAACTGTCCCCACCTCCCAGGAGTCTGCCTCAGAACCCCAAGGACGTACTTGTGGCATTGATTATTGCTCACCCTGGTTTTGGTGTGGGACAGCGCTAGGTTCATAAATGCTAAACCCCTCTCTCTGGAACGCTGCTAATTCTGTTTTTTATATTTGGGATGTGTCAGTTCCTTCTCTTTTTGCCTTAGAATCCTCTCTTACAGCAGGGATTGTGTGTTCCTGGAGACCTTGTAGTTTACCCTTTCTATCTCCACAGCTCCAACTACCAGCAGAGTGCCAGGAAAACAAGGCGGATTCAGAGCAGGATGCAGGATGGATGAATGGGAGAGTGGGTGGTGGGCGGGTGGAAGGAAGGGCAGGTGGCGTGCATCAGAAGGAAGTCAGGGGTCACAAGAGTCACTGATAAAACAAGGAAGTTCTCTTTCTTGGTCTTTAGCACTGGATCCAACTTTCTTTTAAGCAGAAACATTCATTCAGCCTACACACATCAGGGGAGCCCCTCCTTGGTGCTCTTCAAGTTCAGGCACTGGAGACAAAGCAGAAAGCAAGGACAACAAAGTCAGGGAGCTTAGGTCCCAGGGGTACAATGGCCGGATGTTGTGTCCCCCCAAAACTGATATGTGAAATTCTAACCCGCCATGTGATGCTATGAGGAGGTGGTGGCCTGGGAGCAGTGACTCATGCCCAAAAGGGTTTCCAGGGGGCTCACTAGTTCCCTCTCCACCAAGTGGAGATAGGAGGATTCTGCAAATAAGAAAAGGGTTCTGAACAGGCTGACCCCCTGGCCTTGGACTTCCAACCTTTAGAACTGTCAGAAATAAGTGCCTACAGCTTACAGGCCCCCCTGTCTGTGCTACTTTGTGACAGCAGCCCCGACTAAGACATGGGGCTGTGGAAACAGCCTGCAAACAGCAAACGTGGGACAATCTGTCTTTGGATCTGAGTGCTCACCAGCCTAGCAGTAGAACCACAACCTGAATTTGTTGGGGCGGTGGGTGGGGGAGAATCCAGTTTACAATAGTATAAGCACACAGTTAAAGGGACAGCAAAGGGAGAAGGTACAGAAACTCTGGGCTGGTTCTGAGGACTGGCAATGCAGGGAGGGCGGGACCTGGCCCCGGAGCTCCAGGAATCCCCCCAGCTGCAAGGAGGAGGGGGGGCCACTTCTCAGGGCGAGAGTCCCCAGTGGCTCTCCCCAGACTCTGGAGAAGCTGCAGGAACCACGCGAGTGATGTCCACAAGCATCTCAGACTGCCCGGACTTTGGAGCCTAGATATATGCCACTTCTCAGAGGCATCACATTAGGACCATTGTGATTTAGGCGCCACTTCTCTGCATGGCCAGGTTTTATCTGTTCTTGCCTTTCGCATGTCTGTGTATCGGTGTCTGTGCAAAAAAGCCAGGTTGCTTTTTATTGCTAAGTTCTCTATCTCAGCTGCCCCACCTTTCCATCAGGCAGGTCATTACACCATCAATACATATGACAACCGCAGGAACAGCTCCTCCTATTTGTCAATCAGTTTTTGCTAAAGGCAGTTCCTTCTAAATTAGCTACAGAGGTTCATGGCAGCGTTTCAGAAAAAAAGGGCTCCAACTCTACTGTACCCACGACTATTTCCGACAGCCCTTCCTGCAGCCTGCTGGCTAGTGGTCGCAGAATTCAGCCCAAGCACAAAACAATGTCCTACCCAGAGGAGCAATGGGATGTTGTTTTCCCACACAGAATGTTCAACATCTTCTTAAAGGTGCATAATGGTTCATGGGCATTTCTTTGTGAAGTTTTGGATTGGATTAGAATACCAATATACCAATATAAATTGAATTTAAACTGTCCAGTGGCAAAATTTTTTGGAGAACAGAAACACTGGCTTCTATTTCTCTCTAGATTGCACAATACTTACCCAGTGCAATGCATGGTAAAAATAAGGACTCTGTAAGTTCATTTGTTGGATGAATGGATTTATTTATTCATGAATAAATTTTTATTCATGAATGAACATATTTATTCGCTCATTACATTTCTTCCTTTCCTTGCATTTTATCTGCTATTTTCTTTATTCTTTGGGCTCAGTAATACTTTTCATATCATTTCCAATAAGAGAGCTGAATAAATGCATATTGACCTGAATTGAAAAGAGAAATGGAAACAGACAGAAAATCTTTAGCAAATTGAATCAAAAATCTCCCAGCGAGTTGCAAATTAATCCAGAGAGATGTTCCGGATGTTTTGGATGAGGGAATTCTCTGCCAGACAGGTCACACTCCTACTAACCTCGGCACTGGTAAAAGGAAGATTCCTCTAATCCAAAACATCCTGCAATTTTAATTTAATTACTAAACAGCATGTTGTGCAAGTTAAGTTAGATTTCAAGATGACTTAGCAGAAAGTCTCTGGTTTGATAATGAAAACAGATGCTGTCGAGTGCAATAAAAATGACTGCATCAGGCCAAACAGACAAGAACAAATGAGCAGAAAGAGGCTTTCATTTAACATGAGGTTCAGGGGCAATAAAATTCTGTGTCATTTGGGGTTAAACTTTAATTTCACATCCTTTAAATATAAAACTATATTTGCTACCTGCACACCAACGTGGTCATTCAGCTGTTGTTTCTCTCTTTCCTTGCTTTTCCAAACGCAACCTATATTTAGGTTTTAGGGCAAAAATTTGTCTGCATCTTGCCCCACAAATCTCTGCATCCTTTCCCACCCAACTTTGCTCTAACAATTCCAGGAACCAAAGGTAAAATCTCTGCTCAAGAACGTTTGAAGATACAGTCATTCATTCCACAAATAACCATTAAGCATCGTCTATGCATAAGGGGTTTTGCATGGCTTGGGGGGGCAGAGCAAATGAAACCAAGTTATTTCTATTCTTCAAAAGAGATTTACATTTGATAGCAAAATCGAAACAGCAGGAGGAATGCGAGATAGATAAAGTTGTTCCCCATAAATATCATTCCAGGGGAGGGCCTAGCATGCTGTAAATAGACCAAATCCCAAAGCAAACTCATATTCCCCCACAAAACCAGTCCCCCTCCAGCCTTCCCTGCATCGCCATGGTCCCACAATGGTCTCTCTGTCTTCCAGTAGCATTTTATAGGCACATGCCTCTAAGGCTGTCATCTGTGCCTTTGCCTGATGCTTGAAGCCAAATATATTTGCAACTTGGAGGATGATGGCAGGTCTGATTCCCAGCTACCTCTACATCAATGATGTTACTCAGTTCCCAGCACAAGTATGGGTTCAAAAACATATTTGTTGAGTGAAATTAAATCCTTACAGCTTCACCAATTTATAAAATCTATAAAACCTGCTTCCAGTGAAACAACCATCTTCTACATTGGATGTATCTTTTAATTTTGGAAGCAAAAGGATCCTTTTTCTATAAGAAGCTGGGTGTGTAGCTTAAAGAAAGCAAACATATACAGTTCACACCTCCCCACAGAGGTGAGCTCCCATGTCTTTTACTGGCTATTTTACAACTCTTTAAGGTAGAAGTTAACTAGTAGAAAAATGACAGTCATGGACATGATTCCTGTTCACGGCAGTGTAAATGATGCCTGCTCATAGCAATATAAGAATATTTGTCAGCTGGAGACTATGAAAACCAGTTGTAGTATCTTACTGATTCCCCATAAATCAGCAATTAATAATAAATAGCCACGGATTGATGGTGGTCATTTACTATTTGCATGGAAGTCACGATCTCGACTTCTCTAAAATCACCCTTTAATCCTGCATGGCTGAGTGACTTTAGATAACAATCTCAACAGCCACTTCCACTTATTTTATTTACTCAGCCTCTAAAAAAGTGTATTTAAAATTGATTTACACCATAATTGATTTTTTTGATCCTTCTCGAAATAGTTTTCAGAAGTAAATTACTTTCAGAGGCAAAGGTTCTGGGATCAGAGAAAAATCTGGACCCAGGATGAGTGAGTTGGGGGCCAGAGGTGGGTCTGGCTCAGTCTATGCCACCAGCCCTCTGCAGGTCTGGGGGGCGCCACTGAGGAGGTGGAAGCAAATGCTATAAAATATCCAGGCAGTGTTCCCAATGTCCCAGATCATCTTATACTTCTTTCTTGTCACAGCTGGTTTGTTCAAACCGGGGTCCAAAGAAATACTCCACCTTGCTCTTCAATCTCTTCCACTCTAGAGGACGCCCTTCCCTTTTGAAACGCAACTTACTTGTTGAAGAGGGACATTTCTAAAGGCCTCTAGAATGTCCCTTCCTCTACTTTTTGCTGAGCACATCCATCCCCATAAGGTGCTTTTCCTACAAGCTGGTAGTTTAATTCAGAGAGTGGCTTGATCAAATTCAGCCTGGATTTTTTTTCCCTTTTGCAAGAACGCATCACAGACGTGCTGTGTGCTCTTCTTGCATCACTCAGAGGTTTGAGAAACCCAGTGGTCTTTTTCTGCCTTGTTAAAAACCAAGGGGGTGGGGAGGAATGGTTCAGGTAATCGCTGCCCAGTTGCACTGAAAACCTTATTTCCTGGTGAAAAAATAAGCTCGTTTTCTTTTTCTATTGAATATATTATTATTTAATAATAGTGTATCTCAGAAAATATAAGATCAAAGGGAAATCATGCTAAAAGGATAATTACTGAAAAGCACTTGAAATCTCTTTGCAGTTTTGGGTGTTTTGGGTTTGGATTCTTTTTTCTTTTTGTCCTTGGCAGGTACCCCATTGGGATTGTACTGTCCTGCTCCTGTGGCTTAAACATACAAACATATAAAAACTCCCCACTCAGCTGACACCAGGGAGTGTTCTCCAAATTTGCAGGCACTGATTGATCCTTCCTGGAGAGGTTATGGCCTGAAGCTGTAGCCAATTATTAACTCAAGTTTCTGCTAATTCAGGAAAGGATATATATATATACACAAGTATATTTACGATATTTGCTTTAACTTAAGCATCTATATTTAGTAGGAGTTAGACCCTGGCTAATGATCAATCACCCATCTAGCTGAGAGTTCATTTCACTCAAGAGTCTTTGGTCTTTCAAGTGCAAAGTCCTAGAGCCACAGAGGCAAGAGTGGTGATGAGTCTCACAGGCCACCTGGCTTAATCACCTCAGTTTGCAAAAGAAGAAACTGAGATTCAGCAGAGTCTAGTGACTGGCCAGAAATCACACAGCTAGTGAAGAGCAGGGCCAGAACTGGAAGCCAGTCTGCCACCTCCCTTCCATGAGCCTGTACCCGGTGTCTTTCTCTTGGGGGAATGCTGAAGGCCATTATCATTTTGGCACCATTTTTGCAAGGAGGCCTAAACTGAAAGTTGAATCTTACGACTCAAGATACTCTCATGAGATTTGTATTTACCAGAATTTATGGTAAATACCTCCCCAAAATAAACCCACACAAATACCTATTACCATTATGACTGTATTTATCAGTCATTTGCTAGATATTTAGAGATTGGCTCTGGGATAGCAAGATAACCTCCATTTGTCTATATTTTTTTAAAACTTGTCCAAATAATAAATAAAATCAAGGAACATGTATTGGCACAGTGTGAAAGCTGGACACTCTTTTTCAAATATCTAAGACAATTTCCCCATAATCTTTATCCCAAACTTACTTTACAACATTACTTTAAAACAAGTTCTACTGTCCTAAAAGTAAAATATTTGCTCGCTTATCTAATTCAATAAACCTCTACCGCAATCAAGGCACTGGGCTAAAAGGTGTTTTCCAGCAATTAGAACTCTCCAGAAATGGAACTGGCTGCCTGCTAAATTAATCAAGTGGGAAATGGAAGACTAGGGGTTTCTTATCAGAAATCTGCAGAGGGAATTCCAACAGAGAGCAAAGGGCTGGAGGTGAAATCCAATGTCCTCTTTCCCTGAGATTGAATAAAACATTCTTGTTCTGCAGCTTGTGTGATATTCCAGGAGAGTTCTTTCTGGTATGGAGTAGCAACCATTTATACAAGGGACACAGCATGCATTTCCCTCCCATTTCTGTTTCTAGTTACAATCTTGCCCACAGATAATCAACACATCAGAATGACATTCCCTCCCTAATGAAGAGACAGACTTTGTGGGAATGACGGGACTGCCTGAACGAGTCTTCCTGCTCTCGCCTGCGATCTCCTGTTTCCATCACAGGCGGTCGCTTCTGAGATCAGAACCACCCGCCTGAGGTTTATTAGCAGCAATGATCTCAGTCCCGGGTCGAGGGAGCAGCAGTGAACACATTTGGGACTGGGAAGATGCTCACCTAAAGCCTGTGTGCTTTCAAGGTCATGCGACCGATTCTTGCATCCCTACTGTGCACCAGACTCTGAGGCGGGTGCTGGGGGAGGCCTGGGGGGGAGCAGGTGAAAGAGACACAGGCCCAGCTCTTCCAGGCTAAAGGAGAAAGGGAGATGAGAAAGGAAAGTCCATGAGAGTGACAGGAAGGGAGGAAAGTGACAGCTCACATCAACCTGAAGGATGAGTAAGAGCTAGTCCATGAAAGAGAAGAGGGGAGTTTCCAGGCAGGAGAAAGACTGGTCCAAAGCTACAGAACAAAAGACAGTTGGATGAATTCAAGAAACTAAAAGAGGTGAAGACATGTTGGAACACTGGTTGGAGAGAGAGATTGTCTAGAGGCGGAGCAAGAGAGGGTGGGAGGGCCTCAGGGGTGGCGCAAAGGTTTAAGTACCGCGTTATGAAGCAATCTGCAGCCTCTACAGCACAAGTTTGATCCCCCGGCCAGGGAGGTGCCCCACATGGCTCAGCAGACCTCTCCTGACTTGCCCGCTGCTCCCCCCAGCAGTGCTTTTGGTCTGTCTGCCTGTTCTGTTCCCCGCTCTGTCTCTGGTGAATCCTCTCACCCCTCAGACCTCTGGCCTGTACCCCAGCTCTTATATGATAAATAAATAAATCTTAAAAAAAAAAAAAAAAAGGAAGGTGGGAATCAGATGTGGAGAGGCTTGTCCCAGGGCCCTACAAGCGCTTACAATCATTTCACAGTGACCTACGAATACACTCCTCAGCCCTAAAGGAATTCTTTCCCGGCTTCTTACATGGCCTGACTTTTTCACTGAGGCAAAATCCTACATTTGTCGAGTTCCCAGGAGGGGCCCAGCATGATCCTTGACCACAGGAGAAATAACATTGATGAGAGGAACCCTCCCATGGAGTTCATAAAATAATGTTCTGCTCTTTCACAACACAAATGACACATACATCCAAGAGCCATGAGGAAAAATGAACGGCTAACAAGGAACACGCCATCAAACTCCCTTAAACTAACTTAAGAACAGGATAATTATCACTCCAGGTAAAATGGAGACTCTTAGGTTCTAATTTCCTTGACTTAATCTTTGTTTTAATTAAGATATAATTGACAGGGCCTCCCCTGGTGGCCCAGTGGTTGAGCGCTGGGCTGCGAAGCTACCCGCAGCCTCTGCAGCGCCAGTTCAATCCCCGCCTGCCAGCGAGGGTCCCACACGGCGCGCAGACCTCTCCTGCCACCCGCTGCTCCCCTCAGCAGTGTAGTTCGTCAGTCTGCCTGTTCTGTTCCCTGCTCTGGCTCTGGTGAATTCTCTCACCCTCCTGTGCTTCTGACTGTACCCAGTGCTTGTATAAATAAATAAATAAATCTTTAACTAAAAAAAAAAAAGATATAACCGACATATAACATCATAGCAGTGTCAGGTGTACAACATAATAATTCAACATTTGCATCTCAATCTTGTGACATGATCCCCATCAAATGGATGGATGAACATCCATCTCTACAGGTAGTGATATAATTTCTGTGTTTTTTTTTTTTTTAAAGATTTATTAATGTATACAAGAACTGGGGTGTAGGACAGGGGTGCGGGGCAGGGATGACAGGATTCACCACAGACAGTGTAGGGAGCAGAACAGGCAGATCTACTGAAATACACCGCTGAGGGGAGCAGAGGGTGAGATGCTGCTCCATATGTGGGTAGCTCCCTGGCCCGGGATTGAACTCGTGCAACAGTGGCTGCCAATAGCTTCATAGTGCTGAGACTTAACCCTTTGTGCCACTAGGGAGGCCCCAATTTGTACGTTTGATGAGAACTTTTGAGATCCGCTCTCAGCAGTTCTCCAGCGTGCCACACAGTCTTGTTAACTCTAGCTGCATGCAGGGCACACCCCACAGGGTGTGTTTACTTATAACTGAAAGTTTGTATTTTTTCACCCCCTTCACCCAGTTAGTCTACCCTACCCCACTTCTGACAACCACCAGTCTGTTCTCTGTATCTGAGTTAGGTTTTTGACAAAAAAAAAAATTTTTCCTTACTTTATCTAGTATTTATTGGTGTTTTTTTGATTTGTAAAAGAATTAAATTTCTGTAAAAGTCTTCATTATTTTATTGAGTTCAACTACTTCACGAGTTAATTTTATAACATCCATTTATGGTTTAAGAATGTATTAATAGCACTTCTTTTACTTTAATGGAAGTAACACTGACTTACAACACGGTGTGTGACTTAGGGGGGTAGGCTCACCTCACTCACCCTTAGCCCTTTGCCTGACACCATCACTCCCCTCCGAGGCGCTGGGCTTGCACCCCCAAATACTTCTCCGCGTATGATATCCCATATTCACTTATGTTTTCTTTTAACTATTTTTATGGCTTCACATCAGAAACACAGACCCATGGAACAGCGAGCCCCGAAATAAACCTACACAAATACAGTTAACCTGACCAAGGAGCTGCGACCATGCAGTGGACGAAGGAAAGTCTCCAAGGAACGACGCTGGGAGACTTGGGCAGACACGTGCAAAGCCAAATTAATCAAGATTCTTAACACCGTACACCAAAATTACTCCAAAATACAGGCTAAACTAAACAGGTGAAGCTACCCAGTCTCAGAGGCTGTTACCTGGTCAAGGTCTCGCGGCTTCTGGGTACAGTCCGGTCCCCAAGTTCAGAGCTTTTCTCGCTCCATTTGTTTTGATTCATTCAACAGTCATCGATGGGGCCCTTTTCTGTGTGCGTGCAAGGTCTTGTGTTCACACTGGGCCGCGTAGTGGGGCACGGGCAGGACCCCCCAACGGGACAAGAGGCAGGTTTACTCCCTCCACCGCAGGCCGGCAGCATTGGTTTAGGTGTGTGCGCAGCAACAGGCCACGCTCCTATAAAGTTTGCTGCATGCAGCCAAGTGCCACTTGGGCCAGCACCTGGGCCAGCACCTGGTTGCTTAGCCAGAATGCGGGTCTCATCCCCACCCAGGCCTGCTGAGTCCAAACCTGCACATACTCACGCTCCCCAGGTGATCTGCATGCATATTCAAATATGAAACGCTCTGGCAACAGCTACAGGCAGATACACGGACAGATGGAGGAGAAAAATGTGCAATTAAGGAGCCTTGTCTCAGGCCAACTCTGGCTATGAAAACCAGCTGCCTTTGGGGAAGCAATGAGATCTTTACCTAAATCTACTTTTCAAATTTGGCTGCAAATTGGCATCACCTGTGGTGTTTAAAAGTGTGGATTTCTGCTTCTCCATCTCAGAGATTTTGGGTCATGATAACCCCCAAACTCTGAAGTGTGTGGAGCTGCCTGGGTGATTCGAATTTGCAGCCAAGTTTCCCAGCCCCGGCCTTTGTGCATTTCAGGTCATACTGTGTGAGGTGACGACAGGAACAGCAGTCAAGTGATTCGCGTGCAGGACCAGATGTGTGCATTTGTGTCTATGGAGGACGAGGTGGGCAGGTAGGGTAAGAATAGGGTGTGCGACCCCTTCTCCCCCTCCCTGCAGCTTTCCAGGGCCCTGCACCCCAGGCTTTCCAAGCACCTCTCGTGGATATGTGGAGTCTGCTGCCCCCTGGTGGTTATTTTCAATAGGGCCTGCTGTCCCTGGAGGCTTTATTGCAAATCTGGGAGATTGAATCCCAACCTGGGGTGTAGGCGAGCAATGTCCTAGGAACCCATGTGTCATAAGCAGCTTGGCAGTGGCTTGGCATTGCTCCTTCACATGAAAACTCGGGGAGTTTGAGGTCAACGGCCACGTCCTGGCCTAGCACGGGGGTGCACCTGGGGCCTGAGTGAATTCCTGTACTGGGGGTTTGAGAAAATTGCTCTTATCAGCCCGTGGCAAGTGCCTATAGTATCAAGCATCAGGAAGTTCAGAGGGATGAGGTAACAAATTTCATAATAAGCAGCAAACACCCCTTAGTGAGCTCTGCATGGCAGGATGTGCTTTATTTAAATTGTCACATTGAATTCTAATACAAGCCTAATAGGTGTTAGGATTCCAGTCTTACAGATAAGAAACACAACTACAGAGCTTAGGAAACTTGCTGAGGGCCATAGGACTGGTCAGTGACTGAGGCAGGATTTGACCCAGGTCCCACCCTGCCTGGCCAATGATTTGCATGACTTCAGCCCAGGTGAATCTGTGTGATGCCTGCAGGCGCTGCCAACTTCTTCTGAAACTGAGCAAACCAGGTTGGGGGAGGGGGTACCCACACAGGACCACCCAAAAAAGCAGACATAGTGTGAAACAGTAACGGGATTTATTTACACAGGGAATGAAAAGCGGGAGGGGGGAAAGGCAGGGAGTGTATTCACTGGCTGGCACCGTCAGTGTTGTCTGTCCTACCCCAGAGAGCATCCGCTGAGCAGAGGCTGGGGTCCAAGCCAAAACCACTCACAGTAAGCTGGGGACTTCTCCTCAGACACCCCTCCTTAGCAGCAGCTTAACTGCCAAACCCCAGCAGTTTAACTGCCCCAAATCCTCAGCAGTTAAACTGCCAAAAGCCTCAGTTCCACCCTTATTTCCCATCAGCCCCCACGCCGGGGGTAGAGTTTGAAAGCTCTACCTTCCACCATCACGTCCGCATGAGTTCCGCCCACTGGCTTGAAGGTTGCTCCTATGCTCCTCTTACATTTTTGTTCTCAGTTGCACACTGGCTTGGAGAGTTCCTTCTTCAGGGCAGCCCCCACAGGCCCACTGCTGGGGCCAGCATGCACAGGGCAGCTTTGCCAGCTCATTGTTGATTTGGGCAAATGGAAAAGAGAATCTTGGAGCCCTCGGTAGATTTGACAGGCCTTTAATGCCGAAGCAGGGAACCAGGTACATGGGCAAACTGGCAGGGAGGCAGCCACTGAGCTCTATTCCCCAAATCTCCCCTTTCATCCCTGCTTCTTGGCCCAGATGTTCTCATTTATACATGTGTATGCCCCATGCTCGCTGGCTTCTCTGCCCAGGACTCTGCAATTACAGTCGTGCATGGCCTGTGTTCAAGCTCCCAAGACCTTCCATGACAACACGTTATCATGAGTGGGAAGTGAAACCTGGGAGGAAAGCAAAGCTGTAGGGAGCGGCTGCAGGAGCTTGTGGCAAGAGGCAAAAAAAGCTCGAGCCACTCCATTTTCCCTGCACCCGCATTTAGCAGGAGACACTCTTGCCCCTTCTGGCAAAAATCTCCCTACAGCCAACTTTCAGGGCTGGGTTCAGGTCAGAGAATGAAAAGAACTAACAGGAGAAGCAGCAAATACCTTGCACTTTTTGCCAGTATCTTCCTCTGACCTGGCCTTCTCTTCTTTTCCTTTTTTAAAGTTTTATTTTTTATTTATGCATACAAGAATTGGGGCGCAGGCCATAGGTGCAGGAGTGGAGGGTGAGAGGATTCACCAGAGACAGAGTGGGGAGCAGAACAGGCAGATCTACTGAAATACACTGCTGAGGGGAGCAGTGGGGGAGACAGGAGAGGTCTGCCGTGCCATGTGGGTAGCTCCCTGGCTGGGGATAGAACTCCTGCTGCAGTGGCTGGTGATAGCTTGATTGCACTGAGACTTTAATGCCTGCACCACCAGGAAGACTACTTCTCCTCTTCTCTAAAAGCATCCTACCTTCTCTGTCTGTCCTTTTCCTCTCAGCCCTGGTTATATTAGGGGAAGTGGGTAGAATGCAGATTTCTAGGCTCCAGCCCCAAAGATTCTGATCTGGGGAGTTGCAAGGGAGTCTGGAAATTTGCATGGCCCTGAGCACACACCTTGAGAAGCATTCAACAGCCCTGCCACTAATATGGGCAGGTCCTGTATAAAGATCCATCCTATATGTTTAAATGCCAAGTCATAAATCAAGCTAGCAAACTGGCAAACACACCTTACTGACTAACTACAGGCGAGGGTCCCTGGACTCTGGAGTGCCAAGCCAGGTGACAGCACAGGGACAGCCAACCCAGCCTCCAGCCCTTCCACCTCCCTCCAGCCCCCCCTCTGGCACTGACCCTCTGCATGCCCTGAGGAATCTGCTTCTCAGGCAAGAAGCATCCAGCCTGCGAGGTCAAGTTCAGGCCACCTTCTCCTCCCCAACCCACAAATAGCTGTATCTCTATCACCTGTTCAGAGAAGCGATGGACCCAGGCAGGAGGCCTGCATTGGCACTGGAATCAGGGAATTCCAGGATTCCAGGCCTCTGAACTGGTCCTCGGCAATTCGGGTGCAGCACAAAATATAACCATGGACAAACCAAACGAATGAACAGGGCTGTGATCCAATTAAACCTTATTTATGGACACAGGAATTTGAATTACATGTAATTTTCTTATAACACATTCCTCTTTTGATTCTTGGAACCATTTAAAAATGGAAAAACTGGGCCTCCCTGGTGGCACAGGCAGTTGAGTGCAGCGCTGTAAAGCTGTCCGCAGCCTCTGCAGCGCGGGTTCAATCCCAGCTGGCCAGGGAGAAACTGACATGGTGCAGCAGACCTCTCCTGTCATGCCCGCTGCTCCCCTCAGCAGTGTATTTCGTCAGTCTGCCTGTTCTGTTCCCTGCTCCGTCTCTGGTGAATCCTCTTACCCTCCCGCACATCTGGCCTGTATCTGGGTTCTTACATATATAAATAAATCTTTAAACATTTTTAAAAATAAAATACAAAACAATATAAAACATAAAACATAATTTTAAAATAAAATAAAATAAAATAAAATAAAAATGGAAAAACTATCCTCAGCTCATAGACCATATAGAAACAGAGTTGGCTGGATTTGTCTCCAAATCTCTAAACCTAATGGAACTGCACTACCAATATCCCACCTAAAAGTAATTAGAAGTGATTATTCAGCACCATCAACTATCCTTTCAGTGATCAAATTTCTAGTTATCTAATAAAACACAGATTTACACAGAAACCCAACCTGGTCCTTCGGCCTCTCTGTCCCTCTGGCTCCCAGTAAACGGTGTGTTTCTGCATCTCGTCAGGAGATGGCGCTAACAACCGTGGCGTCTGCCAACTCCTTGGCACTCCCCACTGAGAAAACATCACCTGTTCACAGTTCAGAATTACAGGTGAACATATGAACACAAACCTGAAAATAGCCTGTTTGCTCTAGGCAACATGCATAAAATCTCAATACATTTCAGTTCAAAATTTGTTGATATCAAGCAGGGTTTTAATTTGTTTTAAACAAAGAGGACAAGCGAAGTCCATTCTCGGAATTGAGGTTTACCAGGGCGGTGTCCACACTTGCAGGAGCTATTGCACGCGCCCTTGATGTGTGCGTTAAGTCCCCATTACAAATGCCCGGTAGGAATCACATTGTGTGCCTAATTCTGAATAAAAGTTTCTTTTTCAAATGCCCTTTAGCCTGTTCTAAAGAACAAAGAAACAAAATGTGCGATTTCAATGGAATCATGAAGCCATCCCAGAGCCCCTCAGCTGGCAAAGAGCAGACAAACTCTCCTGATGGGAACACAGTCTTATGATGGGTTTCTGTGCACATTTGTCATCTTTTTGCCAGCAACCCCCTAGTCTTCTTTCCACCCCTTCCTACAACAAGCATAAACTATTAAGAGAAACCTTACAACTAGGTAATAATGAATTTTTCATTTTCAAGACGCAAATCTCCAATTGTGCAATTAATCCTTCCCTTTGCTGCTCCTTCAATATATTCAGCAAACATTGACTGACCACTTCTGCTACGGCCACGCGAAACCTCCTTGTCCTCTAGTTCACTGGCTCTGTTATTTGAGCTCACGTCTTGTAATTCCCTAGAAAGTAATTAACACGTTAGCAGACCCAGCTGCATATAAATTCCTAAAGGGCAGCATATGTGGCTCTTCCCAACAGACTGATACCGTCATTTCAGGTTTTCAGGCCTAGACTCCCAGCCAGGAACGGATCCCAGGCTGCAGGGGCAGCGCTGAGCCCTGGCCACTAGACCACCAGGGGTTGGTGTCTCACGAAGCCGCAGCAGGACCTTTGCAGACGCTTAGGCAAGCAAGGGAGAAGAGGCAGATATGTTTATAGAGACAAAAAGTTTATTGCGGTGAAAAGGAACAGAAATAAAGTGGGATTCCCAGGCCAGCGAGGGCAAGGAAGCCAAAGTGGAGTCGTGTCTCAGGGAACACAGACCTTCTTTCCCCAGTTATTCTAAAGCTCCACCAGTCTCTTTGTGATTGGTTAGATC